TGTAAAATCAATTTGTCTTAAAAATTGTATGTATTCCTTCAATGTGAAAATTAATATTTTAGCTTTCATAGATCGAATAGAACCTTTTGTTGACTAGGTAATATGCTTATTAAGAAAATGTTTAACATTTCTACTTCTAATGTTTGTCATATAGTTTATAAAAACTTTACCTTCATTACAAAAAACTGAATACAAAACACGTAATATATAGTTGTGTGTACTTTGATATATATATTTCAAAAAATTGTTGTAAACATAGAAAATAAAAAATTTATGATAGCAGATAAATATGACAGTTGTGTAAATATAAATGTAAATTTGTGTAAATAGGATATGTAAATGCTTTATGTGAAGCAGAGTATTCGATAAATATATAACATTTTAATTTTTTTCTATAAAGTGTGAAAATTTTTAAATATACAACAGGAACTAGCATAGCAAAACCAATTTATCTCAGTTAAAGAATATATTTACTCATAGCTATTGTCAGGCAAACTATATAGTTAATATATTGCAATTAGTAGATTACATTTTAAAAATATGGTAAAATAAGAAGATAAGTTTCTATTATAACTACGAAATTATCGCATAATATTTATCTAAACAAAACAGGCTAACGTCATGTATTATAAATTTTTAATCTTGTCATTTTAACAAATATATTATTAGAAATTATTTCTAAAAAATTTTAATAATATTGTTGTCCATATTTGATTACTATTATTGTATGCAAAGTCTAAGAGTTCTATTATATTCCTAAAATCACACTTCTATTACCGCAACGTTATTAATCATTATTTATATACCAAAATTTAATGCAATAATCTCAATAAATACCTAATGTAGATAAAATGTAAACTTTTTGTACCTTTTGCAATCGTTCTTATTTCATAGAAATTATGATACTTAATGTTTAAATACTTGTATAAATAAATGCAAATAAATATAAAATTAAAATTACGACCTGCGTATTGTGCGTTATATATTCACAATTGAATCACGCATAATAAATTACGTTTTCAACAACATATGCAATACTATTGATACAATAACAAACTATGACTAGTATTTAATATGAGATAGGCCATAATATATTCTTGTTAATCATACTGTCATTCATTGCAATAAGCTTCATTATAGCAATCAATGCAATGCTGTTATTACTAGTATCATTAATAAAATTTAGTGAAGTGTATGAATGTGTTAATGCACTATGTATATAGTTACATACACATGTACACACTTAAATCAAACTTTATAAAACTTTGTTAACACTATAATGTTCTATAATACTGCATTTAATTACTTGAACTATTATATTGTATTCCAATGTTAACAATGTAAATATTTACTAAAAGGAGCTAATCACTGTCCATTGTAGCAGACTCTTTTAACTCTGATTCATCAACATAATGATTTTTTGAATTCTTTTCTTCTACAGATTTTACACACTGCAACAATATACTAAAATGTTTACTGTAATTCAAAATTGTAATTATCTATTTATTACAATACACTTTTTTTCTACAAAATTTAATGTTAGAAATTACAAAAATAAACTTACGTCTTCTATTCGTATTCGCGGTGATGCAATTTGTTCAGGAAAATGCCAAGGTTTATAATTTGGATTATTAAATAATTTCCAATTGGGATAAGCTACAGAAGCCTTATGTAACTTTTTCACCATCTAGAACAGAACAAAATTTTAAGCAACAAATTCAATATGAATGAAAATTTTCATTATAATCATCAGGAAAGTACATACCTTTGGTGCAAATATTTGTGTAACTTTATTAACTAACCAAACTGGTAATTTTCCATGTGGATCAGTATGAGATACATAACCTAATTCAGAACCATCTCCATTTCGAGATGGTCTTACAATATATCCTTAAATTAACAATTTTAATAATAAAGTAATAAAATATTTACATTAATAATAATTTATATTT